GGAGGAGGAGGAGGAGGAGGAGGAGGAGGATGCTGCTGCTGCTGCTGCTGCTGCTGATGATGATGATGATGATGATGATGATGATGATGATGATGATGATGAAAGGCCGCCGCGAGCTCAGGCCTGGATGGCGCAGCGGCCTATGGGACGCGCCCCCCGCTCGTCCGAGGCTTCGGACAGAGGGCCCTGCGATGGCGGCGCTGCTCGGACGCGCCGCAGGCGTGCTCCAGCTGGAGCGCTAGGCATGGGGGGCATCGAAGAATATGCTGCTGAAGGAGCCGCTGCACGCCGCCGCCATTTACCTAGAGCCGTCGCTGATAGACTCACTGAGCTGCTGGAGGAGGCACTCGCGCATGGCCAGGAATACTCCCCGAGCGACATCGATCATATTCCTTGGCCTGATGAATCTGAAGTACCGACCCCCTCAGCAAGCGCAGAGACGCCAGATATTGTACTACAGCCAGCACCACCACCAGATATTGTACTACAGCCAGCCGGTGCCGCACCTCCCCCGCTGCCCCATCCTCAGCGACGCACCGAGGAGACGGACCAGCCACCGACCGACCCCATCGCACCGCAGCGTGCCGTCAAGCCCGTGTCCATCGTCGGGTGGAACCCGTTCACGCTCAAGGGCTCGCCTGGCCGCCTCGACGACATCAGTGACACTTTCCGACGATGCCAGGCGGCCATGCTCGTGGGCACTAAGATACGCCAACCTACTCCCGACACCCCGCACCATCATGAAACATCTGTTGCACATCATTGGGTACATTTCGGATGGACACGCGGCGTACATACCAACGCTTCAGCAGGCTGCAGCATCGGCCTCGCGAAGAAGCAGTTTCGCAACCAGGACATTTGCAAGATCATGCGCCCTGGGCCAGCACTACGAGGTCGGGGGGGCCTTGTTGAAGTTCACAGAGGAGGGCTACGAATACGATAAATCGTGGCCTACTTTGCCCCCCGTCCCACAGGAGCCAAGATCAAACTATGGAAGGACGGATGTATGCAATTATGGTTTTGGCTCATCAAGGCGATCACCGAATGCCCAGCGAGAACCACCCCCATCATTTTCACGGACCTGAATCAAAGCCTAGGGGTGCAGGCAAAACGAACCACGGACGACGCAGCGGTGGGATCATTTCAAGCTGGCGATGAAAGTGAGTTTGGCAGGCACGTACACAACCAGCTATTGTATCACGAACTTTCAGCGCTGAACTCCCACGCAGACGTCGGGCACACATACTATGGCCCAAAAAAAGTCCCGATCACGCATCGACTATTTCATTGGATATCATAACTCACACGAGATCATTCGAAGCATCAGATTGGATTGGCGGGCACACAAACGAGTATGTGGTCTTGAGCACGTTCCCGACCATATCCCAATGGTAATGCGAATATGTATGCCGACCAACACGTCGAACCCATTCGACTCACGAGTAGTATGGGACTGGGGCGCACTTGCAGCGGGACTACAGACGGGATATAAGCGAGAAGAATTTCTCACTGATCTCGCAGCGGACCTGGAACGGTATAAGCAAGCTTTTCGAGTTGCCAAGATGGGTCAATTTCCGACGAGGCACGCTGCGATACTCACACGCGTGATTCGCACCACGGGAGCCAAATACTACTCTCGTGAAGGGCTCCGGCCGCGCTGGCACAGGCAAGCTCGAACGGACCGACTCCTACTACTACGCCAGCGAGCGGAAGCCCGCGAACGTGGACATACATACAACTCACGGATGCTATGCCATATGCAAGCTAGACTGCGAGAACATCAGAAATGGATGAATCACTGGTGGCAGGCTTCTTTGGAGAATGATAGTCGGCAAGCATGGGCATCGCGTGATTTATCACAACTATCCCACTTAACTTATTTGCGAGCGGGCCAACGAGCGGGCCCACGCCGACGTTCCTACCTTTCACTTCCCACGACGAGACCGTCGGCTAGCGAGTATGAGCAGGCGCTGGCGGCAGAGGCAACCGACGGGGGCATGACTGCAATCGCGACATACGCGAGTCTCTACATCGACGACCCCACGGCGGTACCACGGATGTTGGAACAGATGGACAATATGCAACCCGTGGGTGAATACATTGGCGCCCCGACCATCGAGGACCTCGAGGAAGCAAGTGCCGAACTGGAATTGATTCAGAAGCGCCTGTGGCGCGAGAAGAGGGGAAGGTACAACCCGCCCTGGGCATGGCCTGTCGAGTTGACGATAATGATGCTGGCGCCGAAGTTTCTTGCGCGGCCTGGACCTGATCGCACAGGGCTGGGTGACAATCGACATTTACAGATCCAACCATTGGCGGCCAAGCTTCCTCGCCCCGACCGACGGCAGCTGCAGCTAGATTCACAAATGTGTGACAATATTACCGTGGCATTTGTTACTCTTCTTGCACATGTGCGGCGCGCGACGGAGTTGCCAGCTCAGGCATGCACCAGCCGCGCCATTGCGATTGGAAAAACAAAGGGCAAGGTCCCCACGAGACGGCCTATTGAAGATGTTCATCAATGTGTACGGCTCCTTCATTGTTTCGATCACTTCTGGCGCTTCTATTTGCGAGTTGGACTGATTTCATATGGATCCTTGTTTGATGCACCATCGTGGGCCTACGGATGCATTCCATCCAGACGGCGCGAGTCTTTGATGCTGCTCGCGAAGTTGATGATCTGGAAGTTGAGCGGTCAACATTTCATTCCTGGCCAACAGTTATGATATGCGTAACGCTTTCGCCACGGGTGACCACGTGCGTTTGATTGATGCGCGCGCGGTACGTTGCGACGACGAACGCTTCCATCCTCTATTGGGGCAACATCGTGAGCGTGCAGTCGTTTACATTCAGGCCTCTGATGCCGCCCTAGCACTTCGGCCAGGCGCAGGAGGGAGGGTGGGAGATTCGAATGAGCCTGAGCTTTTCATGGGGTCGTTTTACCCCTTAGTGGAGGAGTGGCAGCAGGAGATGGCCGAGGTGCAAGGGCAGCCGTTTCAAGTGCAGTGTCCCTTCACCGAGCAGGTTTTCCTCGGGCACCTCGGCGCGTTCGTTGACGACTTATTTATGATTCCCCTGGTCCCCGACGGGGCCGCTTACCAGGCCAGACTGCTAGACATGATTGGCGACGCGAGCTTATCACGAGCATTGCGTCGCCGGGGATATGCGCAAAACATTAGCTAGCAAGACGCCCTCGTCAGCCTAGCTAGCAGAGCAGCCACAAAAGATGCCGAGCGACATATATCTGGCAAAGCGGTCCAGGAACTCATACATCTGGGTGGGTATATACATGTAGCATTACACTTACAGCGTGAACTACACGAACGTACCGTCTCGGGCAACATTGGACAGGCTCGATTGGGTGACTACTGGTTCTCCAAGGGGCCTTGGAAACATAAGAGGTTATCGCTCCAGTCGAACGTCGCGGGCCGCGTCTGGTCTGGCCTCGAGAGGTGCATCATGCGCCCCCGTGAGGTACACCGACTAGACTGTACGCTAGCAAAAAAGCTACGGGCCATGTTGAAAGGAGCAGCGCATCGCGAAGACTCAGAGGGCCATCATCATTCCATGTCAACGCTCCAGGTCTTCCGTGAATGGCAGGTGGCCCCAACCGCCATCGAGCTTTTAGTGCGGCGTGTCAGTTGGTGGCAGAGCATTGTTGGTAACGTCGTCCACCGCGGTCAGTTTCTCGCGGCTCTTTTGGAAGCTGTGAGTTTGAGAAGCAGGCGGCCAAAAACAACCGCCCCGTCTCAGTCTCGACCCTCAACGAGCAGGGCGAGATCGACGCGCGCGCCCATCCTTGGGCGCGCCAGCTCTCGAGTGACCTCGAGGACCTCATCTCGCATTCGATTGGTGAATCATTGAGAGAGCTGTGGCAACCGCAGACGATTGAAAAACAACTTTGGAGTGATGATCAGATTCGTGATGCATTTCTCTATTGTGATGTACGAGCGCTTCGCGCAGGCTTCTGGGCGTGTCAGTGGGCCCCCCCCCCCCCCCTCCGAGGGAAACGGCATTCTTGAGGCAATCCCGTCCCAGGCCCAGCAGACCGAGACCGACAGCGATGCCGAGTACGTTCGACCATTTCGATGCGGGCTCCCTGGATGCGATATGCGGTTTGGGTCCATACGACAGCTTGTAAACCATCAAACAAAAAGCAAAGCTGAAGGACACGGGCAGCCTCAAATACTAACCACTCTACAGTATGACAACAACTGCATTGTATGCGATACCACATTTCCAAATGTAGACCACGCTGTACGACATTTAACGACGAGCATGGATACAAGGTAGGTGTATTGCGGAATTCACACATCGTAGTTACCCATGGATACCCTCAGCACGTACAGCATGCCCATTATCGGAATATCAAGTGGACACTGCATGTGCACTCGCATTTCATGACCCTGTTAAGCTACGCCAACATTTACGCACCCACATCCCTCCGTCGCCATCGGGTTCCCTGCTCAAGAAGGTATCGCGCAGAGAGGTGGACAGCGCAACCACCCAACATCCGCGTGGGCCTCTCGCTGTGCCGCCTCCTCCCCGTCTTTCACGGACAGTGCAGGCGCAGGACGCACTGGCGGCCAGGCGCGAACTACGACGGGCCACGGGTCGATTGCTACTCGCACCACGAGAGAAGGCCCCCGCGCGAAGGAGACCGCCCAGTGCTGGACTCTCGAGAGCTCATCTCATAGCAGGTATCTCGACGTCCACCGCGCCGGCGCGGGCCAGATTTGCAGCATCGACCCCGACACTTCCGCCGCCGCCAGCTGCACCTCCGCCTCCTGAGCCCGAGGATGACCGAGAACGAGCAGCCGCCAGCGGAGGCCCCTGCAGCCCCTGCGCGAGCAGCGTGGCGCCACCCCCTGGGCGCCTCCCAGGGCTCGCGAGGATCTGGGCAAGACTTGGCAGCAAAGGCAGCGGGGGCCCCACCGTCGGTCAAGCCACGACTTCAGCGACCACCACCGCGGCGAGGAGCAGCGGATGCGGACTCGGAGGTCGAGGGCGCGGCCATGGCGGGCAAGGGCGAGGGCGAGGGGATGCGCAGGAAGTCGAGGCGCCGAGGAGGGCGTCGCACTCGCCGCGGCGAGCATCAGATCAAGGCGTGGAACAGCAAGGACAGAAATCTATTAGCACTCCTCCAGGCGACGCTCAAGCTTTTCCTCCAGACGGCCCACAGGAACCGCTTGGCCTCTTCAGTCGCGATCGACACCTACACGATGCCGTCCAAGCACGTGATGATCAGCCACATCAGCGCCGAGCTGGAGGGGTACAAGAGCCTGCTCGACTCCCTGCGGACGGAGGGCGCGGAGGGCAAGGCGAGGATGAAGCAGATCGCCCCCCCCCGCGGCCAGCCTGGCGCTGGCGGCCCTGGAGGGCCTCATGGAGTGCGACATACGCGGCGGCATCAAGAACGAGATACGGACCTACCTGCACAGGTGCTCCCCCGAGGACGCGGAGGCGGAGCCCGACATCGACAAATCGGACCTGGAAGTCGCCGTCAGCTTCATTCGCCTGGAGAGCTGCTACGGCACGCAGAAGATGAAGGTCATCGTGGGCGCCCCCAGCTGGGAGGGGCGCGCTCTCATCCAGAGGGCGCTGAAGGCAGAGGCAGTCGCGACGCGCCACAAGGGGGTGGCCCCTGCAGGCTGGCTCGAGGGCGAGGTGGGCCATTGGCTGGAGACGATTAGCGACAACCTCTAGAGCCCGTCAGATCTGTGAGTGGAGGATTTTTGCCAGCCTCGAGCGCTGTCCCAGAGACAGCGGCCTCTGCACGCGCCTCCCCCAGCGAGCCAGGCTCGGAGTCAGGCCACATTTCGCCAGCGCATATTCCCGACCCCGAACCTTTCGATGATCATGAGGCCGAAGACCTCGTATCAGCAGAATGTTATTCATAGCTTCGCCCATGCCGCCTGGCACTCGCTGTGATCAGCACCCTGGTGGCGCCGCTCTGAGCAGCACTCGAGAGTCACCGCTCTCTGCGACGAGCCTCGCATTTCCTGCGAGGTGATATGCACAATTATCTCCTTTCTGTTGGCTCTGACGTCGTTGGCAAAAAATGAGGATGATGCTGATATGATGATGATGCTGATGATGATGCTGATGATGATCATGATGATGATGCTGCTGCTGATGATGATGTTGATGCTGGTGATGATGATGGTGGTGGTGATGAGGATGAGGATGGGGATGAGGGTGAGGATGGTGATGCGGATGATGCTGATGATGATGATGCTGGTGCTGATGATGATGATGCTGATGCTGGTGATGATGCTGATGATGATGTTGATGATGGGGATGATGATGCTGATGACGATGATGTTGATGTTGATGATGATGATGATGGCGACGACCATGATGATGCTGGGTGCTGCTGCTGCTGATTAGTATAATGACGATACGGATGATGATGCTGATGTTGATGCTGATGCTGATGCTGATGATGCTGATGCTGCTGATGCTGCTGCTGATGGTGATGATACTGATGATGCTGATGATGATGTTGATGATGCTGATGAGGATGCTGTTGCTGATGCTGATGATGATGACGATGATTATGATGATGCTGCTGATGCTGATGCTGTTGATGATGATGATACTGCTGGTGCTGATGTTGATGATGATGGTAATCAATATGATGTTGTTGATGATGAAGATGCTGATGATGATGGTGTGGGTGTTGGTGGTGGTGATGATGATGATGATGATGATGAGGAGGAGGAGGAGGAGGCGGCGGAGGAGGAGGAAATCGAAAAAGAGGCCTCTTGAGGCCATATTGGGGCCTCCCGGGGATCTTCCCAGGAGTGCCTTGGGGGCCTCCTGAGGGGCCTTTTTGATGTCTCCTGGGGCCTCGTGGGCCTCCTTTGGGCTCCTGGGGGCCGCGTGGCCTCTCCCGTGGCCGTCGTGGCCGCTGTCGCGGGCTTTCCTCTGGGCGCTTCTGGGGCCGTCTTGGATCCGTGGGGCCGTCTTGGGACCGTCTTGGGGCCCTGTTGAGGGCTTCATCCCGAGGCCGTCTTGGGACCGTCATTGGGAGCCTCCCTGAGGGCATCATTCCGAGGCCGTCTTGGGATCCTCATTGGGAGCCTCCTTGAGGGCTTCATTCCGGTGCCGTCTTGGGGCCCTCATTGGGAGCCTCCCTGAGGGCTTCATTCCGAGGCCGTCTTGGGACCGTCTTGGGAGCCTTCTTGAGATCTTCATTCTGGGGCCGTCTTGGGACTGTCTTGGGAGCCTCTGGGGCCGTGCTCGGTTGTCACAAGCCCGAACCGGTGGGAGCGCGAACACCCGTACCAGGGAACTCCATGACTTTGCCCTTTTGGTGCTCTTGTAGGAGTCCTCTTGGGGTGTATTGAGGGCCTCTTGGGCCGTCTTGAGAGCATCTTGGGCCGTTTTGGAACTATCTTGGGCCGTCTGGCCGTCCATCTTACGGCTATCTTGGCCGTCTTGGAGGCCCTATTGGGACCATCTTGGGCGGGAAAGCCGATGGAGTGTACCGCGCCCAGGTTTTTTCGCGTGGCTGGCGGGTTGAGCGGGAGGCCATTGGAAACCTTCTGGAAGGGTTCAAGCAGCCCCTCTTTCAGGCAACAGGGGCGGCGGATTTCTAGTGGCCTTCGGCCACGGTGGCGGATCTGACAGGGGTGGAGCTCCAAGTCTGGCATGGAGGAGGAGGAGGAGGAGGAGGAGGAGGAGGAGGAGGAGGAGGAGGAGGAGGAGGAGGAGGAGGAGGAGGACTGAGGGAGAGGAGGACTGCGCTAGAGGAGCCCCCCCAGTCCCACCCCCCTCCCCCCCCCTCCGCTTCCGCCCTCTGCCGCGCACCTCTCCCTCCTCAGCCCTCTCCTCCTCACCCCCGACGCCGCTCCTGGCCCCCGGGATGTCTCGACGTCCCGGCCCCCCCCGCAGCACGCGGGGCTCCGCCGCTCCTCGCCGGCAGGCGTGCACACGTCCGTGTCCACAGCCTGGCAGTCTGCACTCCTAGGGGGCCCACATGCGAACCCGACCCCTACCCCCCACGATTTCTAAGGGGGAGGGTAGGGTTCACTTCGTTCGAGACCTCCCGAACGGAGTGAACCCCACCCTCCCCCTCAGAAATCGTGGGGGGTAGGGGTCGGGTTCGCATGCGACCCCCCAACTCCTCGGTCCGGACGCCCACGGGTGACCTGGACTCCTCGGCCGCGGCCCCCCGTGGGGCTGCAGGGCGGCCTCGCGCGGATGCCCCGCGCGGAGCGCATCTCCATGGGATCACGCCTTGGTGTCCACACGGCAAGGGCATGCGTGAGGATACGGTGGAGACCCACGCCACGAAGCACCCTGCTCGCCTCCAGCGTGCCCTGTGTTTTTCTTGGGTTTCGATGGTTCGGCTGTGGAGGGCGTGACGCTCGCGCGCCAAGAACCCATGGACGCCCTGGGGGTTCAGGGTTGGCTTTCTTGTGGAAGGTTTCCTCTGGTCGGGCCCCTACTGCACGACGAGGCACTTCTTGGGGGCGCGCTGGAGGAAGTTTTTGAATCTCCTGGGGGCCTTTTGGGAGCCGTCTTGGGCCCTTCTTGGGCCGTCTTGGAGCCTTTTTCGGGCGTGAATGGCGTCAGCCATGGTGCCGGCCCTCCCCCCCCCCTCTCCCTTCCGGGCCCGACTGGCGTCACCGGGGCCCTAGTGTGCGCACGGACACGCTCGCCGCTCGCAGGGGGCCACATGCAAACCCTACCCCTACCCCCCACGATCTCTGAGGGGGAGGGTGGGGTGCACTTCGCTCGGGCGCGCCCGAACGAAATGAACCCCGCCCTCCCCCTCAGAACTCGTGCGGGGTAGGGGTAGGCTTCGCAGGTGGCCCCCTAGCTCGTGGGCTCCTCTGCCCCTGCGCAGTCGTGCGGCCGTCGCCCCCTTCTGGGCGCTGCTTCAAATCCTGGGCGCGCGGGGGCCCTGGGCGCGGGCCTCCCCTGCGGGGGCCCGGGCTCCGCAAGACCAGCCGTCCTGGCCTTCTCTCCGGGCGTCCGCGCCGCCGCCGCCGCCGCCGCCGCCGCCGTCGTCGTCGCCGTCGTCGTCGTCGTCGTCGTCGTCGTCGTCGTCGTCGTCGTCGTCGTCGTCGTCTTCAGCGTCAGCGTCGTCGTCGTCGTCGTCGTCGTCGTCGTCTTCGGCGTCGTCGTCGTCGTCGTCGTCGTCGTCGTGAGCCTCTCTCGGCCAGGGAGCCCTTTTGGCCCCAGAGGCGGGCCGGCCCGCGAACCCCTCCTCCGCGCGCGGGCGGGAGCAATCGACTCGGCCCGGCGCGGCAGGGCCGGGCCGGGCCCCGTGTATTCTGGCAGCCCCGGTCCAGGTTTGGCGTTCTCCCCCGTCTCTCGACTACGCGTAAGAGTGACCTTTCGCCAGAGTGACCTTTGGTGCGGGCGCAATGACGGAAAGAATGGGCACAATGCCCAACAGCAGTTCCTGCTCATTTTGAACAGGACTCGCTGTCCGCGCCGCCGCGGCCTGTGTCCATTCGAGACAGAAGGCCGCCTACCCAACAGCGGCCGCTGTTGGTTTGGGACAACAGTTGTTGTTGGCCATTGTACCCATTCTTTCCGTACCCATTTCGGGCGTCCAAATCTCGACTACGCGTAAGAGTGACCTTTGGCCGGAGTGACCTTTGGTGCGGGCGCAATGGGGTTCCCCGATCACCGATGGCGATGCGATAGTGGCGTCTGGCGCGCCCGAGTTTGGTTCCCCCGCGGCCCCCCAAAAGCCGCGCACCAAATGTCACCCTTGCCCAGGGTCATTCTTGCGCGTGGCCGAGTCTCGGCCCCCGGCCCCTGGGGAACTCCTTTGGGCACCCAGCAGCTCCAAAAAGCGGCTCGGGTCGAGCCACGTCGCGTGCAGATGTCTGGCAGTTTAGCGCCTCCTCGACGCGGCGGCGACGCCAGCGCAGGCTTTCAATATTGAACGCCCTCTGGTGCTCTAGGGGTCCGCTTCGGGCCCAGCCGTGCGTGATTCAGAGCCGGTTTGGCAAGCCGGAGCCCCCTCCTTCCGTCCATATGCGACTTGGGGTCGGGGTTCGTGTTCCAGCCTCTGTCCCGACAGTCCTGACGGTGAGGGTGGGGGTTCGGGCTTCAAGTGCCTCGCGGTGGGGGGCAACGCGTTTGACGTCCCCTCGGGCGGGTGCTCCGCAACCGCGACACGTGCGAGCCTGCCCCTGTGGGTCCAATCGAAGTTTGGTCGGTATCGTGTATCCGACCCCCATCCCCATCCCCATCCCCTTCGAGACCCCCACCAGATTACCACCCCAATTGGGGATACACCCCTCGAAACCCGAAGGGAACGACCAATATCCCCGTCTAGGGTTATGCCGGGCCTGTCCCCCTACAGGGGGATTTTCGACGAAAAATAAACAATACCCCAAAAATAGTCAAAACACAATCCAAAAATAGTCTGGGGACTATTTTTTGAATATTTTTGACCCTTTTGGGGCATTTTTGTAAAGTATTTTTTAATTCATCGCTTCGCTCATTCCGCCGGCCCATAATGTCGCACCGTGGTCGCCTGTCCGAGTGGTCGTTTGCAGTGTGGAGCTGCGGCGTCGGGAGCTGTGTAGTTGGGCCCTCTTGGGGCGATCTTGGAGGCCTCTTGAGCCGTTAAGGGGCGTCGGGGAACCGAAAAGGTTGAAACGCCCAACTCTGTCCTAAACCTAAGAAAAAGCATTGATTTTTGCCTCTTGGGGCCCTCTTGGGGGTGCTCCTG